TGTGAATACACAGTACTGTATACAGACAGCTGTTTACTGTTTAATTGTGGGTTACTGTCCTGGTAAAGATGACACAAGACCCATCAACAAGTCTATCACTGATAACCCGGTTGGATGGAACAAACTATGTTTCCTGGTCTATGAAGTGCAGTCTACTTTTGCGTACAGAAGGGTTATGGAATACAGTTCAGGATCCACCAGATGTAAATGCTTGGGATCCAGATGATGAGGACGATGCCAAGAAGCTTGCTGACTTTAAATGGAACAACGAACGAGCTCTTTGTATAAGTGGATTAATACTGAGTGACCAGCAGCTAGTCCATATTCGTGGAGAAGAGTCTGCTGCTAGGTGTTGGGAGAATTTGAAGAGGATTTATGTTCATGACAGTGTAGGAGCACACATACATCTTACACGTAAACTGTTTAGAGCACGTCTTCTGAAAGGTGGAGATATGTTAGCTCATTTGAACTTCATGAAAAGAACTTTTCAAGAGCTACATGAAAAGGAATTGATATTTTCAGAGTTGCATCAAGTTTACATCATTCTTTCCTCATTGGATGAAAGTTATGATGATTATGTATCTTCATTAGAAGTGCTGACCAGAGGTAAACTGACATTGACTGACATAACCGGAAGGTTGTTAGAAGAGGCAAGAAGACGGCTGGATAGGGACCAACTGAGAAAGAAACAACCACAAGAAGAGGATTTTGTGTTCAACTGCCTATACTGTTAGGAAATGTTTTTCTTGTGGGGCTAAGGGACATATAGCTAGATTCTGTAAGAAGGGAAAATGACAGAATACTGGTAATCACCAGAAGGGTAAGAAGAATGTTGGTTTAGCTATGTCTAGCAATTCAACTGTAAACCATGATTTGTGGGGCCATTGTAAACCATTGATCGTGGAGCATCACAATGCATTACTAGAAATAGAGAGAGGTTTGTAACGATGTCCATGAGTAAGCAACATGTATCATTGGCAAATGGATGGAAGATGAAAGCATCTGGTGAAAGTACTGCATATTTTTCTTGTGTAAATTTGCATTTAACTATGTTATATGTACCTAAGCTGAAATTTAATTTGTTATCAGTAAGGGCTTTAGTTAATCTTGGTTATGTAGTAACCTTTACGGGAGATAACTGTATAATAGAGAAAGAGGGTAAAAATGTTACTGCTACTTTAGAGAATGATTTATATGTTATACATGTTGACCAGTTGCAGATGGCTAACTCGGTTTATAACAATGTTAAGCCACATGACGAATGTGGCTTAACATTGTTATATTTACTGCATTTATATTTACTACATTTACTGCATAGACGTATGGGGCACATTAATTTCAAAATGCTGCAACAAACTGTTAAATTGTCAGAGGGAGTAAAATTAAAATCCAGTAGAAAGTCCTTAAATTGTAATGCCTGTAGTCAGGAGAAAAGCAAGGTTACTCCAGCAAACAGACTGAATGGGATTAAGACCAAAGAACCTTTAGAGGTTGTGTTTGCTGACATAATTGGTCCTAAGAAATCCAGTTTGGGAGGTGCCTGCTATGTTTTGAGTATAAATGACCATTACTCACGATACGGTTTCTGCTATCTCATGAAAAACAAAACAGAAACATTCCAACATATCTTTAATTTGCTAAAGTTTGCAGAGAGAAAAATGAAACATAGGGTAATTATTTTGTTACTGATAACGGGACTGAGTTTATTAACAATAGATTCCAAACTATGTTAAAATTGGCTGGTGTCAAGCAAAAACATTTTGTACCTTACAGGCCACAACATAACTCGTTTATAGAACAAAGCCATGGCTCGCACTATGTTATCTGATTCAGGTTTGCCTGAAACACTGTGGGATAAAGCCATAATGTGTAGCAACCATGTGTTAAACAATGTGGTTAACACAACAACTGATGAATTGCCATTCACTCTTTGGCATGGCAGAAAACCAAATTTAAGTTATCTACACACATTTGGAGCTCCAGCATGGGTGCATATTCCCTCACAAGCAAGACTGAAAGGTTAACATAGAGCTACGAAATTATTTTTCGTAGGTTACGAGACCAACCATAGGTAGTTTAGATGTTGGGATCCAGGCACAGCTCATGTTTACTGTAGCACTAGTGCTAAATTTTTTGAGCACGTTGGGTGGAATAAACTGGAACAGGAATACAACAATGATATTGCAATTGACACCCAAGTAGTCCCTAAAGATAAAATAATTAAACCATCAATAGCCATTAAAGAGGAAGAACAGGCACAGGAGGAGGTAGAAGAACAGGAGCATGTGGAACAGGTGAGTCCACCAGTAAGCCTGTCTTACCTAGACGTTCAACCTGAGTAACACGACCACCTGATAGATATCAGGCTAGTGTTGTATGCCAAGTGAATACTGTTTATGATACTGGACTTTGTTATTTGGATTATCCCTGAACTGAAATACTGACTGTTTTAACCATGTACAACTTAGACTGTTGGACTTTGCTTAACCGTTTACTGGAAGTAAAACCTACATTTTACTATTTAGTGTATCTGTGTGCTGATCTTATGTTATTCAACATCACTCGCACATCTCCCTCTGTGCACTCATTCTCCTAATGGGGAATTACCTCAACAACTGGCCCCCACTCTTCGGCCTCTGCCTCCCAGCAATTTGCCTCCTTGCAGCAAACAGCAAACAGCCCGGTCAGCTTCAGCACAGCCTGATTAGCACAAGCAGCTGATTGTCGGTTGGATCGGCCTCCCGACATCAGCTGTTTCAGGCTGCAGGGATCACGATCGCCTATAGCCACCTCTGCATGCCTCATTTTTGGCCTCCATGTCCCATTTTCGGCCTCCGCACACCCTGTTTTTGGCCTCCGCACATCCCCACTGCCTGGAATACTTCTCCGTCAAAGTATATCAAATGACTAATGAAAGGGTTGTCAAATGAAGAAATGGTCCTCATGGCCTTCTAAAGCATCTCTAAGCTTATTACATTCAGAATGCAATATTGCCTAGTGGCAATCATAGACCAAACTGTTGTATTTTTTTTTCTTACTCCTTTGGAACTGCCATTTCACAATACTAGAAGCCTAACTGGAAAATAATCAACAACCAAAACAGCTTCTTGAAACCTGGACATTTATCTAATTTGTGATAATGCAAAAGAAGATATTTTCATACAAGTTATTTCTCCTTTCAGAACAAAATTAAAGAAGAAAATGCTAGAAGTGTTTGTAAAAATAAAATCCTGAAAATCATGGTATCAATATTATTCATGGTATAAAATTTGCCTGGAGTCTGAAAAAGCATAGGGAATGCTTCCGTAAGATGATTGTAGCAGAAGAAAACTAAATCATTGTTTATTGTAAAGGTAACTATTTCAGTATATTCTTTTTTGTATGCAGTTGCTATTGATGGGTATGAGGAATTCTGCTAAGACTGACTGTTGTTATGGTTTCTATGAAACTATAGTTTCTATTTCACAAATAAGTGCATGAAATTCAGAGCATGAAGGAGTTAATTCAAGACATATTTTAAAACATGATCAGATAAGCAGGCTGCATCTTTGAGTTTATGTGATATATTCTCCAGATTTCTATTCAGTGGTTCAGAGACTCTTGTTGGCTTACAATGTAGATGTACTGTACATATTTTTTCAAGGGAAAACATAGAATCCATGGGCAGATTTTCCCTTATTAGTAAACTCATGAATAAGTGTTTTATTGCACAGAATTGCTGTTGATTTGTACTGGATTTATAGAAATGGTTATTTTTCAACTTGCCCCATTGGTCTCAACTAGATTAACTACTTTTTACCATGTTTATCAGTTTGTTGCATTTTATAATGACTTTTTACTGACATCTATTTTTTTTAACCAAGTGGAATCTCATTTTACAAATATTTATCATATTTAGGAATCACCTATCTCCCTCACAGAGGGACTCTCAGCTGTATACAATCAAAATATTAAAAGCATAAAAGCACTGTATAAAATTGAAAAGAGGCAAGCAATATTACAAATTAAAAGGTGGGTAGTTACAAATAGCAATCTTTTTAATATAATCATCTAGGCAGAATTTGGATGGCTGTGACCAGATTCTGAAGCAAGATGTTCAGAAAACAGACAGGAAAATACTAATCGGTACAAAACCAGGAAATACATCTTGATAATAAAGACAATTGTAACTTAGAACAAAAATGATTTCATTGTATATGATTTATGATGATCAGGAATTAACTTAATATATTAATTTCAATTCTCAATCAGCAATCCTAGTTATTTCAATGATAGAGAATAAAAGTCTCTCTGAAGGCTTGATGAACTCAGTCTCAGCAAAAATATTGAAGTGGTCTATCGCTGCTGAGATATTTGTCTTAGATTAACCAACAGTCCTCATATTGCTTGATGGTCTACTCAAGTACTAATCTGGTTCAACCATGCTTAACTAGCTGTTCAAGTGCTGCGACATAGTGTAATTATGACAGTATACAAATCCTCAAGTTTTATCATGAAGGTAAATATATGTGTCCCAGGATAAAGTTGCAGGATCCAATCTGGGTCAGTCACCAGCACCAGATATTTATTCTTCTGAGCTTTTGGACTTAAGCTGGAGCTCATCTTCAGGGAACTTCTCCTTAGCAGAGTGTGACTAAACTTCTGGTCCTGGTATCTGTCCAGATTGGATTCTGAATTTTTTATCAAGTGGATTTTTGTATATTACTTTAAAACTGGTAAGATTTAAAGAGTGTTACGTTTAGGAGAAATAGCTGTTTTGAACTGTTAGCATTTGGTTGTCCCATATTTGACTGTCCCATATTTACTAGATACAACATCCAGTGCTGACACAGCAGTGTATCTAAAAGCCAATGTTCTCTACTGTTCTGAGATTCAACGTCGCCCCCCCCCAAAAAAAACTTCATTGAAGTTGAGAAAAAAAATCAGATGCCATACAGTATCGATGCAACAGAAAAAATGTCTCTGCTGCTTTGTAACGGTCATCAGTATTTTTGCAGCACAGATACCTGGCAAAAACAGTACTTGAAAAGCGGCATAGAAGAGGTTGGCCGCTTAAAATATCTGTGGGAGTAACGGTGACGTGTTGTCAAATCGGATTTACCCTTGATAAGGAACGCGCGGGACCAGGCACAAAACTCATTATCCCTTTATTGTTCGGCGATTCTGCGGGTCTGTGAGAAAGAGATAGGAGTTATTACCCATCCTCGTTGTTGCCAAGGTACCGCTATTTAGGTCACACACAAGGGAGAAACCAGTCACATCATGCCTCCATGACATACTCATATACTCTCGTGCTGTTTTTTGCAATCCTCTAGACGTAAACCTCAAACTCCTCACAGAATCCCTCCCATCTCCCTTTTCGCGACCCAGAGCTGCGCCACTGCAGCAGCGAAAGCCCCTCATAATCTAAGATGGCGGCTAGACTAAGCAGGGCTGTTCACGTGACCTAGAGAGACTGTTGCCAAGAGCAGACTTCTTTTGACAGAAATCTCGCGAGATCGTGCAGGAACCGGTTGACCCACTAGTTTTTATGAAACGAAAACAGAAGGGAGGGGGATGTTAAAGGAGGGGGAATCTCGCGTGAACAGTGCTATAAACTTTGTGTAGGGAAGCCTCGCGGTATCATCTAACGCCTCCTGAATCGGAAGGAGTCCAGAATTTACTTTAGTTCTCGCGGTAGTCTTGGGATTTCTTCACCCTCCCCCCACCTCTTAATGCGGAGCGGAGAGTTCTCCCCGCGATACCTTTTGCAGCAAGCAGAGGTGGGGGGAGGGGATCGAAAGGAGGAAGAAGGGGCGTGGCTTGCGCGCTGAAGTCAGCACGGCGGCTACGAGGGGGCGGAGGAATATATAAAGGCCCGGGTCGAACTGGGGGTGTTTCAGTTAGAGAAGCAATTCTGAGACGGAGGAGGGATAATCGTTGTAGGCGAGACGTGTATTACTTCTGGTGAATTCGAGTTTCTCTACGCGGAGCGGGACCTCCCGGAACGATCTCTCGTTATGAGTCATGTGGCAGTGGAAAATGCCCTCGGTCTAGATCAGCAGGTGAGGGAATTCAAGGGAAAAACAGACGGGTGGGCCTGGAATAGCGAGGGCTTCTCGCCTCTCACCCACTGGAGGCCGATCTGGCTTCGGGGCTCTCTTGTAGTGTCCAACGTGTTCCTTTGCCCTTGTCATACCCTACTATCTTACCGCGCTCCACCAGCTCGGCATGGTTTTTGTGCCGGCCTTCTGGTGGCGCATTTTACTGTGACGCAGTTCCTTTTTTGGAGGCCGCAATTTTGGCGTTGTAGGCCGAAAAATGAATCGGAGGGGGGGGGCGGATTGAAGGGCAAGAATCGCGGCGAGGCGTGAAGGATAGGGTATAGCGCCCCTGGGCCGTGTGAGACAGGCCGGGCTTGTTCCGGGCCTTTGTGCGGCTCCGGCGAGTGTTAATCTGCCGGCCCCCCTGGCGGTGTTGACTTTGAACTGCAGCGGGCGGAGGACCACGGCGGCCATCGAGCGGTGACGAAATGGGAGGATGGGTGAAGCGCGTGCGCGGTTCCCCAGCCGGGGAGCGGGAGCCACTTAGCTCCTGCTGCAGCTCTTGCTTCCCGTGCTGGGTGCGCGCGCACGTACAGACACGCGCCCCCCCCATCTCCTTTGTCCTCAAGGCCCCTATCGGAAAGGGGGGAGGAAGAAGTACCGCGCCTGGAAAGGCGGATTTTCCCTCTTCTCCTTTAGCTCCCCGTTAACATTCTTGCCCGCGGTCGAGGTGTTGGAGAGCGGTGGCAGAGCAAAGTCTTTCGGGCGGTGTGGGCTAGAACGAGCTCCCGAAATGGATCAAGGAGCCGGTCAGGGAAATAAGAGCAGGCGTGTGACGTTGCCGCCGGATTAGCGGCGGGCTAGGAAAGCGCAGTCGCCGTTCGCTGCGGCAGAGCTGGAATGCTGCGGCTGTGGCCTGAAAACGCTGAAAGCAGGCAAGAAGCGACTCCCCCAGCTAGTTCTCTCTTGCCCGGGGAGGCGGCCGCATAGTTTGCGATTTTGAATGTATTTAGACCAAGATCAAGATACATGTTTATACTTAGGCAGTTTTTCAAAAAAATAAAATAATCGACATATCTAGTAAAGCTGTGATTTACTACATAAGGTTCCTATAGCATACAACTATTTCGATGAACGTGATTTTGATCGAAGAAATCAAATCTGCCATAACACATGAAAAGTGGTGTTGTGGAGGATTTGTTTCTATGCAAAATGAATTTAAAACTGAATGGTAGTGGGAAAAAATTGGCATGTTTAATTTCAATATAAAATACTCTGAGGGTACACTATTTTAATTGCTATATTCTATATAAGTACTGATAAAACAAATGAACAAATAACAGTTTTCTCTTGCTTTGATTACTAGTGAATTTGCTTGATTATTTTGAATCAAAACTAAAATTTGGCAGGTTTTCATTTGAAAATGTAGCTAACAATAACTTTTGTGTATTTTTAAGTTTGCTGGTCTAGACTTGAATTCCTCAGACTCTCAGAGTGGAGGAGGAACAGCAAGTAGTAAGTACATAATTCAAGAATATGTTGTTAGGCTTAATAGGTCTTGTGGGTGCCCCATCATTTCAGTAAAAATACCATTTCTTGATGCTTCAAAATCAAGCAATTCTCTTCCCACACCAGTATTTCTTATGCATCTTTAATGTTAAATAATGTTTTTTTTTAAATCTTGCTGGACAGTTGAATGTTAAAAAAAATGTAAAGGGCTGTATGCTTTCTAAATCCAGTTGTATGACCAGACCATCACTCATTCAATTTCTGAATCCTGTAACATTTCTAGAAGATACTTGAAGAATAGGCAAGATTATTGGACTGGAATATCATTTGCTATCTTATTCCTTTTATACTGCCAAAGAGCCACTGTTGACTGAGTTCCAATACTATATTTTTTAAGTTCTGGTAATATTGGCTTGTTGCATAGTGGCATAGTTTCAAAGGAAAACGTTACAGTATGACCATTAATGGGCTTTTTTTAAACTTTCAATTCTTAGTAACTCAATCTGTTAATGGCAAAATAGGTTACATACTGTATTTTTCAGAGTAGAAGAAGCACTTTCTCTCCCCCCCCCCCCCCCCAAAAATGGGTGGAAACGTCTGTCTTATACAGCGAATACGGGGCTGTTTCTGGCCTCCTGTGTGTCCTGTTTTTGCCCTCCCCAGCGTCCAGAAGCACTCTGCAGGCCTAAAACATGCCCATTTTGGGCCTGAAGAGTGCTTCTGGATGCCAGGGAGGGCAAAAACAAAAACGGGATGTGCAGAAGCAAAAAACTTCCTCTTGTTTTTCTCCTCTATAAACCAAGGTGTATCTTATAGTCTGGTGCTTCTCTGTCCTTGAAAGCCAAGTAAAAGTTATAAACTGACAGCTTCCAATCATGAAAAGTATAAGAAAAATACTGTGATGGATTGTGAATGTCCTAGATACCAAAGTTTTTTAAAGTAACAAGTATTTTTTCTTCCAGAAGGCCGGTACATTCCTCCTCATTTGAGAAATAGAGAAGCTTCAAAGCAGGGTATGTTTGTTGATATAGATTTCAATAGTAGTGCTTTATTTAAACTTGATTCACAGGTGGATATGCATTACAACATCCCATACATTAAATATTGGTAAAATCCTGTACTACAGCTTAGAAGTGATATCTGGCTATAAGTAGCAAGGAAGCATATAAAAAATTGAATTTGCGCACTAACTCAGTGATATTTTTTACAGTATGAAGGTTGCAAGAGAAAATTCAGTTTGAGTGTAATACATTTAGTAGGCTAGTGATTGAGAGTTGTGTTTTCACTTAAGCAGTAAAGCTAATAAAGTAATGCAATTTACTACAACCAGAACAATGGTGACACCCGGCCAACAAAAAATATTGTTTCTTCTGAAAGTTATGATTAAATTCATGGTCAAGTATTCTAATGTGGAATGACATAATTGATAATTATGATAATTTGGATTTCAATTATGAAATGATCCATGATGAAACATTTTGAAAATATTAGTAATAAAGAAATGTAAGTAAGCAGAGACCCAGGTTTAGTGTGAGTGCTGTTCTTTCAAAAAGCCTACTCACTGCTATGTCAATCTATAGGATTAGAAATTTAAAACTTAATAAAAGGGAGTTTTTAAAGCTGTTAATTGTCAGTTAAAATTAATTATTAAAATATTTAATCTTAGATAAAATTAACGTACAGTATCTTTAACTCTTAGTGATCCAAAAAGGTTGTAGAAATGATAATCACATTCTTGAGTTTTCTCCAAGGATCCATATTTCTGGAATTCAATCTTTTTAGCAACTAAATAAATAAAAGGTAAACATTTAATAGAAGCTTTGCTAGAGGTAGATAGTTCTTTTTACCTTTTTGGTGATTTGCAAGAAAGTTGCTTGCCCCCAATTTTTGGGAGGGATAATTGACTGTTTTAAGCTGACAACAGTGAGCAAAATCAAGTTTGTTTCTGTTTGTTGTAGTCTTGTGGCGGTTACATTTAACAATTTCTGTTTAAATGTTAAAATGCCATTTTTATTGTTTCTTAATAGTTGATTTAGGCCAATCTTCCATTTTCAAATTTAAAATTATAGGGTTATTATCAGGTGTTCAACTAAGCCTATAGACTCTTATCTCATTCAGCCGGTTTTGAAAATTTTAGAAAATTTGAATGTTTTTCTGCCATAGTTGAAACTAGAGCAGATATCAGACTACATTTTGGCTGTTTCTTGTCTTCATCGTGGAAGTTACTATAAGCTAGAACTTGGTAGAATTTGAAAAATTGTTTTGACTTTCAGAATTTCCATAACCATAAATAGCTAATCTTAGACTATGGGTTCATATGTGTAAAACGTTAATAGAACTCATAGAAATTTTTTAAAATTGTTGTGAACACATAACAAAGATTAATAAATTAGTGCATCTATTATAATACACAAGGGGAAAGTCATTAGAATGGTTTTTAGTAATTTTCTAGTGTGTTTTCATAAATTTTGGCTTATGCTGTAAATGTTAACTATGCTGACTGGGAGTGATCTAAAATAGGGGTGTCAAACTTGCTGTGTCACATTGCCGTCATGTGATGTTTCACGGTGTTTTTTCCCTTTACGGAGCTGGGTGGGAAGTGGCCTGCATGTGACACATCTGGCCCGCATGTGACACCAGTTTGACACACCTGATCTAAAATATGTTGGGCCTTGTGGGAGAGTTCACTGAAAGATCTGACATGGGCAGTGGTTCTTGTTACTTCAAATTCATAAGGTAATTTTGGGGCCTTTTATGGAAGTAGTGAGAAATGTTTGATATTTCTTACTGTCCTAAGCTGTTGATTGGGCAGCTCCTTCCTTTTTTTGGAGCATCCTGTTAGATTATTGGGGGGGTGTCTTCATATTGGCTACAAAAATTC